CCCGACCCGAAACGTCAGCTTTCCTGTTCCTCTGATGCTGCCAGGAACTGAAGAGCTCCTGTTGCTGAGCTTGAAACAAATCTCAAGCATCCTGGAGCGCATAGGGGTTGGGGATTGTTATCCAGATTTGTCCAACTTTGGCAAATCAAATGAAGAGGGCTGTAGAGATGGCTTTAAACTAATTGGGGGAGGAGCATTTGAGAGAGGGGAAATGTAGGCTTACAAAGCAAGAGGATATGACAGCATTACAGAGCAGCTACTTGGATTTGATACCTAGGGTGGGACAGGAGCGGGCCAAAAAAATGGCAGGAAATAAGGTCAAAGGGGGAGAAAATAACAAAAAGACAAAATTAATGGTTCTTTACTTGAATACACACAGAGGTCAGTGTAAAATAAATAAACTAATTGCATAAGTACAGGTAAATGGGTATGGTCGTATAGCTATTGCAGAGACATGGTTACAAGGAGATCAGAGCTGGGAATTAAATATTCTAGGGTATGTGATTTACCAAAAGGACTGGTAGGAAAAAGAGCGTGGTGTGGTGGTATTGTTCTTGCCAGATGGAATAAGTACAATAGCAAGAAACAATTTTGGATCAGAAGATGTAGAATCTATATGAGTGGAGGTAAGAAATAAAAAGGGGAAGATGACATTAGTAGAGTAGTCAGTAGATGCTGAAAAGTAGTTATTTGATAGGATTCAGAATAAATCTGGAGATAATAAGAGCATGTAACAAAGGTGGTACATTATTCATGGGAGAACTTAATCTTCACGTGGATTAGGATAATCAGATTGGTGGAGGGAGAACCTGAGGAAGAATTCTTGGTGAGTTTTCTAGAACAATCCAACCAGGGATTGAGCTATTTCAGATTTGTTGTTGTGTAATGGAGGCAGGTTTAATTGATGATGTCAGACTAAAAGATCCCCTAGGAAACAGTGACCATAAAATGGTAGAACTTAGCATTCAGTTTGAGAGGGAGGAACTTTGGTCAAAAACAACTGTGCTAAGCTTAAATGAGAGAAATTTACAAAGAATGAGCGCAGAGCTAGCTAGAATGGACTGGGGAATGACGTTAGCAGCAAAGACAGTTGAGGAAAAATGGCAGATGCTTCAGACAATAGTTAATTGTCCACAGCAAATATATATCCCAGTGAGAAAGAAGGATTGTATAAAGGGGATAAACCAACCATGGTAAACTAGGAAAGTTAAGGATGTCATTATAAGACCATAAGAAACAGGAACAGGAGAAATTGAAAGAAAAACACAAACCACGTGGCAAAAATTGATGATAGTACAGAGAATTGGGAAAGTTTGAAAAAACCAACAGATAGCGGATTGGTCAACTAATAGAAAATAGAGAGTTCAGATAGGGGCACATTTTTAAGATGGTATTCTGTAATTAGTAGATTAGCACAGGAAACAGTACTGAGGTCATATACAAGATCCAAGTTAGTGGGAATTTCAGTGGTGAGGATGACCGAGTCTACAGCTGGATATTGCCACTTAAGTGAGAGGGCAAAAACTTGGCACTTGGAAGATAAAGTGGGAAAATGTGAGTTATGCACTTTGGCAGGAAGAATAGAGGAGCTGAATATTATTTAAATGGAGAAAGTGACAGCATAGAGGGATTTGGGAGTCATCATAGATAAATTGTAAAAAAAAAACTAGCATGCAAGTAATAAGAAAGGTAAGTGGAATTTTGGCCTTTATTCAAGGGGAATTGAGTGTAAAAATAGGGATTTTTTTTCTTAAATTATAAGAAGACATTAGTCAGACCACAGCTGGGTACAGTGAACAGTTTTGTTCCCTTATCTAAGGAAATACTCGCATTGGATACAGTTCAGAGAAGGGTTCCTGGCTTGAACTTGGGTTTGGAGGGGTGTTTTATGAAGAGAGATTGAGTAGGTTGGGACAGTACTCATTGGAACGAATAAGATTTTTAGGATATTTGACTTGGTAGATGCGGAAAGGTTATTCATCCTTGTGGGAGAGTCTAGGATCAGAGGGCATAATCTCAGAATAAAGGTTTCCCCTTTTAAGACAGAGAAAAGGAAGAATTTCATATCTGAGAGTAATGAACTTGTGGAATTATATACCGCAGAAAGCTGTCAAGGCTGGATCTTTAGCTATATTCAAGGCTGAGATAGATATTATTAATCAGTGAGGAAATTGAGTGTTTTGGGGAAAAGGCAGGAAAGTGGAGTTGAGGATTTTTTAGATTAGCCATGATCTTATTGAATGGCAAAGCAGACTTGATGGGCTGAATAACGTGCCTCTGCTCCTATGTGTTGTGGACAGCACAATTTGATGACACCATTTTGTTAGTCTCAAAATGATTCAATTATAAAGTTAGAAGTTGAGTAAAAGATTTGCAGTTGTTTTAGCAAAATCTGACCTTTAAAACTGACTGACTACAAATTGATTGAGTGGAGTGCATGATCACACCATTCCCAGCATTGATCCACTGTTTCTCATGCACATGGTATCATCTCAGTCAAATTTCCTTTTAGCCTCAGTTCCAAAGAAAATAATCCTGCCATCTTTCCTCACAGCTACAGTTTTCCAGGTGTAAATCCCTTTTTACCCTCTCTAGTACGTAGAAACATCAAAGATCAGAGCAGGAGGAGGCCATTCGGCCCTTCGAGCCGAATGCACCATTCATCACGATCATGGCTAATCATCCAACTCAATAGCCTAATCCTGCTTTCTCCCCATAACCTTTGATTCCATTCGTTCCAAGTGCTATATCTAACCATCTCTTGAGTACGTTCATTGTTTTGGCATCAGCTACTTCCTGTGGTAATGAATTCCACAGGTTTATCACTCTTTGGGTGAAGAAATGTCTCCTCATCTCTGTCCTAAATGGTCTACCCCGAATCCTCATACTGTAACTGCTCTGGACACACCCTCCATTGGGAACATCCTCCCTGCATCAACCCTGCCTAGTCTTGTTAGAATTTTATAAGTCTGTATGAGATCCCCCCTCATTTGTCTGAACTCCAGCAAAAACAATCCTATCCTAGTCAATTCTCCTCATATGTCAGCCCCGCCATCCCCAAAATCAGCCTGGTAAACTTTCACTGTACTCCCTCGAGAGCAAGAGCATCCTTCCTCAGAAAAGGAGACCAAAACTGGATACGATATTCTAGATGTGGCCTCATCAAGGCCCTGTACAACTGCAACAACTCATCTTTGCTTCTATACTCGAAACCTCTCGCAATGAAGGCCAACATACCATTTGCCTTCTTTACCGCCTGCTGCACACTCCCCTCTCGCAATTTACAGCCATTCAGGTAGTAACTACCTTCTTGTTTTTGCTTCCAAAGTGAATAACCTCACATTTATCCAAATTATACTGCATCTGTCATTGATTTGCCCACTCATCCAACCTGTCCAGATCATGCTGAAAGATCTCTGCATTCTTGTCACAGTTCACCTCCCACCCAACATGGTATCATCTGCACACTTTGAGATGTTACATTTTGTTCCCTCATCCAGATCATTAATATATATTATGAATAGCTAGTTATTGCCTACCAATTTGAAAAAGATCCATTAGTTCCTACACTTTGTTTCCTCTCTGCCAACCGTCTCAAAACAATTACCCCATCCCATGTTCTTCAGAATAATCTCTTATGCGGGACTTTGTCAAATGCTTTCTGAAAATCCAAATATACCACATTGACTAGATCCCCCTTGTCAACTTTGCTAGTTATATTTTCATAGAATTCCAACACATTAGTCAGGCATGATTCCCCCTTCATAAATCCATGCTGACTCTGTTCCTGCTAATGCTTTCTAAATGCTCCTTGATAATGGATTTGAGAATTTTCCCCATTACTGATGTTAGGCTTACTGGTCTATAATTCCCTGTTTTCTCTCTACCTCCCTTTTTGAATACTGGAGTGATATTAGCCACCCTCCAATCTGCAGGGACTGTTCCTGAGCCTATAGAATCCTGGAAGATGACCACCAATGCTTCCCCTCTTCCTAGAGCCACTTCTTTAAGTACTCTGGGATGTAGATTATCAGGCCCTGGGGATTTATCCACCTTCAATCTCATCAATTTTCCCAGCACCAATTCTCTACTAGTACTGATCTCCCTCAATTCTTCCTGCTCACTAAATCTTGCATTCTCCAACATTTCTGGTATTTGATTTGTGTCCTCTTTTGTGAAGACAGAACCAAAGTATATATTCAGTTCCTCAGTCATTTCTTTGTCCCCTATTATACATCCCCCCATTTCTGACTGTAGGGACTTACAATTGTCTTCATCAATCTCTTTCTTTTCACGTACCTATAGAAATTCTTAGTGTCAGTCTTTATGTTCCTTGCAAGCTTACTTTTATACTATATTTTCCCCTTCTTAATTAATCCCTTGGTCCTTCTTTGCTGAATTCTAAACTGCTCCCAGTCCTCAGACACATTATTTTTCTTGGCCAACCTGTATGCTTCTTCCTTGGATAGGATACTATCCCTAATTTTCTTTGTAAGTCATGGATTGGCCCTCTTTCCATTTTGCTTTTGTGCCAGACAGGAATAAACAGTTGTTGTAGTTCCCCCATGTGTTCCTTGAATGTTTGCCATTGCCTATCCACTGTCATCCCATTAAGTAACTCTCCCCAATCTATCAAGGCCAACTCACGCCTCAGATCTTCATAGTTTCCTTTATTAAGATTCAGCACCCTAGTCTCCGAATCAACTACCTCACTCTCCATCATGATAAAAAATTCTATCTTCTTATGGTTGCTCATCCCTAAGGGGTCTCGCACAGCTAGATTGGCAATGACTCCCTTCTCATTACACATTTCTCAGTGCAATCATATCCTAGCAGACAGTTTCTGGTATACATTTAGTCACTATCTTTATTAATAAACATTTTAGTACAAACACTTTCAGATAAACATAGTCATAGCATGCTGCAACCCTTCTTCATCTAAGTAAGTAAAACTCTCACCTATTTATTATTTCACCTTGTATCTGCAGAAACTGGTCTAAATCAAAGCACTGGCTTCTGTCTCTATTTGAAAGTATTGTCTCCAATGCTGCAACGTTTAAACCCACAGATGACCACTCCAAGGTAATAGTGATTGTAAACGATATTGAATCAAATTTTTCCACTAATTTCAAATTTGAGAAATGGTTATATGCCGTACTTAGTGAACTATATTTCAGTGTTGTATAAACTGATCAACCAATTAACTACTGTACTATTTTTCTGGGAAATGAATAATATAGCACTTTCATTGAAATGAGAAACTTGATACAAGCTTTCTCTGTTGCTTATACTCTTTCAAACTTCCTATGAATTTTTCCTTGTCACTTTTTAATACAGAAATCTTTTCTTAAATTTTTGCTGACTTAAAACAGAAATGCGGAATATATTGTACTGCCAAAGCAGTTAATGACATTTTGAAAAGAGCTGATTGAACATCTTATTTGAAATGGGATTGAGGGCTATTACAATAGTATTATTGGTGCACCATGATGATTTCTGGAATTAATCTTAAATTGCTTAGAGCTTAGAAATGTCACACCAAAGAATGAATAATGTACAATATTAGGTTAATTAGATAATCATTTGAAACTTCTTTTTCTTTATTCATTCATCATGGGATGAAGGCGTCACTGGCTAGGCCAGCATTTGTTGTCCATCCCTATTGCCCAGAGGGTAGTTAAGTGTCAGTCACATTGCTGTGGGTTAGAAGTCACATGTTGGCCAGACCAGGTAAGGATGGCAGTTTCCTTCTCCAAAGGGCATTAGAGAACTAGATGCATTTTTCTGACAATCGGCAATGGTCATCATTAGTCTCTTAACTCCGGATTTTGTTTTTCTCTATCAAATTTAAATTCAAATTCCACCATCTGCAGTGGTGGGATTTGAACCCAGGACCCCGTTGGAACGTTCCTGAGTCTCTGGATTAACAGTCCAGCGATAACACTAGGCCGTCACCTCCCCATCTTTTTGGAACAGCGAGTAACTGAAAGATCATTTACATATAATATGTACATGTATGGTCTATGGACTAAATGGATTTTCTTGTTTTGGACTTTTTTAATGTTTTTATTTGCTTTATTGCAAGATCAATTCAACAGTTTCATCTCTAGACCATATTTACTTCCTAAGAGTACAGTAGCTCAGTTGGTAGCCCTCCTACCTGTGAGCACTTGGGCTCAAATCCTCCTCCAGGATTTGTATGTAAATATTTGTATGTAAATTATTGAACTCTGTTGAGCTCCTAATACTATATGCAGTTCGAACATACAACAAAACTGGAGTTAATTAGGAATGGAGTTTCTGGTGGAATGATTTCCAAAAAATATTTTTGTCATTAGTAAAGTCAACATTCATTAATTCGGCTGGTAAATATTTTAAAAATGTAGAACTGTGCCAGTATGACCACAAATGCAATAAATTACCTTTTTTTGCTAGCCAAAATTTAAAGACTTTTTCTAACTAAAATTAAGAATACACTTTGGCTGTTCAACTTACGCAGACTTGTTAATATTTATATTACACATTTTTGATGTATAGCAATATGTTTATATAATGTTTTCGTACGATTTGGTCTTCAAATAAAAATATTGTTGTTTTTAAAATATTTTTGAAGTTTTACACATTCAGTGTTTTTTTTTTCCACTTGTTCATGGGATGTTGGCATTGCTGGCTGGACCAGAATTTATTTTCCACCCCTAGTTGTCCTTGAGAAGGTGGTGATGAACTGCTTCTTTGAACATCTACAGTCCATTTTCTGTAGGTAGACCCACAAACGCATGAGGGAGGGAGGTCCAGGCTGTTGGCCCGGAATAGTTAAGGAAAGATGATATATTTTCAAGTGAGGATGGTGTATGGCTTGGAGGAGAACTTGCACATAGTGGTGTTCCATGTATCTGCAGCCCTTGTTCTTTCAGATGGTAGTGATGCTGTCTAAGGAGCCTTGGAGAATTTAGTTAGCTTAGTATAGTTGAAATAAACATCTATAATTTGGATTCCTATGAACGTGCTACCAGCCTGATAACTGAATTCTGATTCTTTCCTGGCTTGATATTTTATGTTATTTGGTTCTTATTGCAATCAGTTCTTTTTCCGGTGATGTTCTACAGTGTCACGGAATATGAACATACTATCAGGTGTTGTAATGGGCTCATTGCTAAGACTTGCTACAATATTAGCTAGATAGTAAGTAATTAAACACTCAATTGATCAGGCAGTGAGAGAGTGGCATATAGCTGATGTCACTAGACTTGCCATTTCAGAACTTCAGGTTAGTTTTTAAATCTTACCATGACAAATGGTGAAATTTGAATTCATCAAAAATATGGAATAAGAAGTTCATCCAGTGACCACCGTTGATTGTTATAAACATCCATCTGGTTCAGGAAGGAAATTTGCCATCCTTGTCTGTTCTGGCCTATGTTTGAGCCCAGACCTACAGTAATGTGACCTACAGACATACTGGAAACTAGTTATGCAACAAATGTTGGCCTAGCCAGTGACATTCACATCCAATCAGTGAACAAAAGAATTCTTCCATGCTACTATGTGGGCAGATACATAGCATTTAACAACAAAGTCTATTAAATTAATATGAGTCATGTAATTTCAAAATGTTGGAAGGGAAGAGGACACATGTAATTGTATGAAGGGAAGAGGCAAATAATTTCATCTCAGAAAGTGTCCCAAGAAGACATTTCAGGGTTCACCATCTTATAATTCCTAAACTAAAATACATTCACACTTTCTAATCTTGTCCTCCAGCTGTAAGCCAAGATGGCTGTACCATCACTTAATTCTTACATATAAGATGAAAAGACTATTTTGTAAGAAACCATACAATGCAAGCTCTTATTTGCTTTAAGTGTTTTCTGTGATTAATGTGTCACCAAGCTTCATTCTCCCTGCAGTAATTTCTGGAGTCCAGGTATTGGGAAAATGAAGATATAAGTGTGGAATTGGCACCTAGCATCCTGATACTATATATCTGAAAATAGATGATGAAATTTGTCTTTTTGTGAGATGTTAGTTTAACAATTTTTTAATCAGCATACATAATTTCTTTAGAAATGAATACTGTCATTGCTGCTGTTAATGCCATTCTGTATCTATAATGGGTGACACATTTTACATGGATGGAAGTTCCTATTCCTCTAGGAGGAGTTTCATTTGCAGTTTAAATTACTAAATTATTTAAGTAAGGTTAATACCATCAATTTATATCTTTTCCAGACATTGTTGCAGCATCTTTTAGACACTTTGAATGGGAACTCTACTGCTAATTACAGTTTATTGTTGCTCTGGGCTTCTCAAGCAAATGCACTTCCAGTAAGTACCATATTCAAACATTAGTTGACCTTTTCCTGTCCAATTGAACTAATGAAAATGGTAACAATCATGAAAACGTTCAGATTTTGGGATGTCAGTGACTTGTATTTCTATTACTTGACCTTTGGAAAATCAGAATATGTGGAAAAGACTTTTCAGCTACACATACTTTTGATACTAAAAGGAGTCTGTCCTTTAAAATAATCTTTAGAGATTCAATTATTTGACTTTTTAAGGTATCTGGATGGGTACATGAATAGGAAGGGTTTAGAGGGATATGGGCCAAATGCTGGCAAATGGGACTAGATTAATTTAGGATATTTGGTCGGCATGGATGAGTTAGACTGAAGGATCTGTTTCCATGTTGCACAGCTCTATAACTCTATTACCTTTAGAAGGTATTGGAAAGCTGTCTTTTTGAACCACTGCAGTCCATGTGGTATAGATACAACACAGTGCTATTTCAAGAGAGTTCCTGGATTTTGATCCAGCATCAGTGGAAATTTATTTCCATAAGAGCACAGGAGACTTGATGGAGAATGGGAGGTGGCACTATTTCTATTCTCCAGCTGCCTTTGTTCTTCTAGCTGGCAGAGGTCATGGGTTAGAAAGATAGAGATGACAAGTGGCTGCAGTGAGTCTTGCAGATGTTACACATTGCGGGTGTCGTGCATGGGTGGTGGAGGGAATGTATATTTAAGGTGGGGTGTTTGATTGTTAATCGGGTGGATTGCTTTGTTCTGGATGTTGGTGAGTTTCCTAAGTGTTGGAGCTTCACTCATCCAGGAAATTGCACAGTATTCCATCATACTTCTGACCTGTGTTTTGTAGACTGTGGACAGGCTTTGGGAAGTCGGGAGGTGATTACTCAGCACAGATTTCCTAGCCTCTAATCTGCTCTTGTCGCCACACTATTTGTATGACTGGTCAGTTCAGTTTCTATCAATGGCCACTCTGAGGATGTTGACAGTGGAGGATGTAGCAATATCAATGTTTTGATTATTAAGGGGAGATGGTTAGAACAATTCTTGCTGATGATGGACATTGCCACCTACTCCTAGCACTTGCATGGTGTTAATATTACTTGCCACAATGAGTTAAGATCCAAATGTTGTCTAGATCTTGTCTAGATGTGAGTGAACATAGCCTATTTCAATATGTTAAGGGTGCAATGTTTTATAAAATGCTAATGTTCTAAACTATCCCTTCAAGCTAAGAATGGAGCATGTGATGACTTAGTTTTGCCCAGCAATAAGCTGAAGTGACTTGGTTTATGTGGGGTTTTGTGGTCCTGGTGAACTTCTGTTGAAACTCCCATGTTGATTTTCTCTCTTGAGCCCAATGACAGAAGCAGCTGCCCTGCCTTTGGAAAGTCCTTTCAGAGACTTGAGACAAAGGGAGAGGGTGAGGGACAGAGACAGGAGCTGCTGTGGTCTGCGAGCTGGGGGAGAAAGGCTCTTTCTCTGTTCGCTACCAGACAGATAGTGGG